TGTGATTGAATAGGCTGCGGCTGCTGATGGAATACGCCTGAAGAGGGTTTGTGTTTCTCGGACTGATCCGCCTCTGCCGGGCACTGGGGTGGGGGTCTTCTCTCTGCCTTGGCTGTGATGGGCGTAGCTGTGCGCATTAGGGTTCTCTTGCTGGATTTCTGCTTTTCTCCCTCCATTTGTTGGTTGCTCTCTCCCTCTCATGCATTCTTCATGCCGTCTCTTTTCTGGGGCCTTTAAAAGGCAGAGATCTGCGTGGAGATGGGGCTGGTCCAGGGAAGGTCTGTGCTCGGCTTCAGGAGTGGAGTCCAAGAGACCATTGACCTCCTGGAGTACGGGGGAGAGTGACATCTGGCCTCGAGATGGTGCAGCATGACCAGCTGGCTCATGCGTCATGAAAGGCTCACGTTGACCTTGGACAGTGTTGGCTACAGGGCTGGGCTGATGTGTTCACGGGGCTCGTTCTGTCATGGTGGGAGTTGGAATGTGTTGTGGGCCAAAGGAAGTTGACACCTCTTGATCTCAGATGCTGGCAGAAGGACCCACTGCCGTTGAGTCGACTCTATCTGCATTGAGAGGTGACAGGAAACTTGAGCCATCAGAGGCCTCCTGGAGCCTTGGACGTGGCCAGCTCCTAAATGCCCCCATTTGTCACCTCTGCTTGCCAAGGTTGACTTGACACTGAGAATGGAGAAATGGACGGACAGATGGCCCAGCTGCTTCGTTTCCCTTTCCTTCGCCTTCCCCTTGCTCTCTGCTGGCCCACGCTCCCGCCCTTTCCTCCCTTTGCTCTGAGCCTTGTCTCCGAGGCCCTGGGCACCAGCCGTTGGCCTGCTGTAAAGGAAGTAGGCTGCAGCCACAGGGGACCTGGGGGAGCTGTCCCCGTAAGTCACCCTGGTACCTGCAGAAGGGGCTTCGTGCACATTGCCTGGTATCTGGTGTGCCTCGTCCTGTGTCCTCAGTGTGGTGTGGAGAAGCATAGTGATGTCTGGAGACCAGGGTTTGCCTGGAGGCTGGCAGGCTGCCTCAGATTCCTGATGGTGATAGAGGGAGGAAGGAGCTGTCCCCCCGCCCCCCCAGAGGTGCTCCCATGGCCCCGCACAAGACCCAGACATGCTCCAGCACAGGATAAACAGGTATCTTTCTTTCCTTCCATGCAAGACACCAGGACAAACTGCTTTCTGTTTGTACTTGCCAGCAGCAGGTGCAGAGCTGGGGCTCAGACCTGCATAAAGAAGGGAGACGAGGGCGGTGCCTCCTGACTACCCCAGGTGCATGCTCTTTCCAGGTTCTCTCAGGTGCTGTCTTATTGACGGTCCCATCCCTGTGAGCGAGACACGCAGGCACAGCTCTCCCTGCTTGTTAACTGGGGACATTGAGCGTCAGAGATGGGCTGCTCAGCCCAAGGTCACACAGCCAAAGTAGGGGGCCAGTCAAGGCCACAACGATGCTCCTCCTCCTCCTAGCAGCTGGGTAGGCCCCTTTGAGCTCACTGGAGCCCCTGGCTGGCCCACCTGGGCTTTGCGCTCCTGGCCTGGTGTTCCTTGGCTGGCTTCCTTCACTCCCTCCCCTCCTCCTGATGCCTGGCCTCTCCATGGCCACTCAGGGAGACATTCTGTTTCCCCAGGGGGCCTTTGCCATGGTCCACCCATTCATGCTTCAGCTCCTTCTCCAGTCTGTGGAGCCAGTGACATTTTGAGAGGCCCCGTGGATGTCAAGGCCAGCCATGAGCCCCAGGGTTCCCAGTGTCAGTGGACTGCACAGCTGACCTTGTCAGAGAGCACAAGGCACCCCCCGCGCACTGCTAGGGGTTGGAGCTGTCTGGGAAGTCGAGCTGGAGCCCTGAGGTCTTCTATGGCTGCCATTGTCCTCAGGAAGGAGGCTGACAGTGACTTCCCGCCCCAGCCTTGGGCCCCAGCCTGTGGGCACGGTGCCCTGGCCCCATTGCTGGGATCTCCCTCCTGACTTGTGTTGACACGTGTGCTGTCCCTGTCTTTAGTCTGCCAGTCACATGGCAGGTGTCTGTACATATTTGGAGCAAGGGTGAATGGCTTCCTACCACCCCAGGGTGGTAGGGACCCTGGAGGGTATGGATGAGGAAAGCTGTAGCGTCTGCCACTCTGGAGATGTGTGCTCCAGTTGCAGAGACCAAGCAAGGCCATACCATTCAGTCCCTGTGCCATTAAGCTGCCTGAATGTTGTGATTGAAATGCAGAAATGGGAGGAAGTCTCTTGGCTTCCTGGGGAGGGACAGGAGGTGGCCTTGGGGAGATGGGAGGTGTATGGTCTGATGGCATTGGAATGGACTCTTGTCTTTTAGCTAAGAGATGTTGCTTGGGTACCTCTTTGGCATGAGGAAGATGGTAACTAGAGACTTTGTTTGGGGCGTAGCAGTCTCCTTGATCCACACCCTGTGGGCTTTCTCTTGCCCATCTGCAGCCCTGTGATGCAGCCCGATCCTGTCCCCTTGGCTTCTTTGGATTTGGCCAGAGCAAGCAGAGGGAAGAATCTTTGCAAGTGCTGCATTGTTTCCTGGAGTTTGTAACCAAGTAGCAGAATCTGAGTGGCTTAAAACAGCAATGTATTCTCAGGGTTCTGAAGGCCAGCAGTCTGAAGTCAAGTAGTCAGTGGTCTGTGTTCTTTCTAAATGCTCAAAGAACCTGCTCTATGATTAGCCCAAAGAATCTGCTCTCTCTTAGCTCCTGGTGTTCCCAGCCATCCTTGGCTCATAGGTGCGTCACTCTGGTCTCCCCTCTGTGGTAAGGTCTCCGGCACGTCTGTGTCTCTGCTCTTCTTATTCAGATTTAGGACCTGCTCTAATCCACCGTGACCTCTTCTGAACTTGATTACATCTGCACAGACCCTATTTCTGAACAGTTGCATTCAGCTACTGGAGATGAGGACTTCAACATATTTTTGGAGGGGACACAATTCAACTCCAAACTGACTTGTTTTGGTTTGGTTTGATTTGTCTCCAAATCCCATCTACAAGTTAGAGCTTCTGACCCCTCCACCAACCTCTCAGGTCTCTGGAGGTGCAGGGTGTGTGCGGAGGCCCCACCTTCCATCTTTCTCCACTGCCCCCTCTCTGAATTGCTGGCTTGCAGAGTGGGACAGATGCTATCTTGACATGTAAGGCCAAGCCTCATCTTGCAGAGGGTAAGGGTGTGGTTGGGAATGCTGCTTTCCCTGTTTTGGGGGTGGTGGTGAGGAAATAGAGGTATACTGGTGGATAAGAGGTCTTCCTCTGGAAGATGATGTTACTTTTATAGAGATGCAGGGTGCAGGCTCCGGAAGGACTCCTAAGGACTCACCCATCCTGCACTGGGACCCACCAGAAAGGGCAGCCACTTGCTTTCAGAGTTCTGGGTTTGAGTCCTGGCTCCGCCGCTCAGTAATTCTGCAGTCTTGGGCTTATTTAGCTTCTCTGAGGCTCCGCTTGCTCATTTGTCAAATGGAATAATAATAACTGCTTGTCATACCTCACAGAGTTTCTTTGAGGATGAAATAGGAAAGGACTGATATGAATGTACCTTTTGAAAAATCATGACCCTCTAACAGCTTCAGGGGCCTCATCTCTCCAGAGGGCTTCTTACCTCTCAAAAACATCTTTCGGGCCCCTCCAGGCAGACAGGAATTTGTGTGGAAGTGGGGCGCTCTCAGCCACCTTCCTCTGATACTCCTGGACCTGCGTGGCAGGAGCCCTCCTTGGAAGGCGTCTCTCCTCCCTCAGGCTGGCTCTGCCTCTCTTGCCTCCCCCTCCCTCTTCCTGTCCTTTTCTCCAATGGGACAAAGTTCCAGGGGAGAACCAGGGCAGCTAAATTTGGGGTGCACCTGGGTATGTCTATGCCAGGGCCTTCGTAGTGTGCCAAAGCATGGCCAAGGAGCAAGGTGACATGCGTTTTAGCCTTTTCTGTAGCTGGCTATTGGAGTCCCCAGGGAATCCTGGCTGGGCACCTGCTTCCTGAGGTCCTGTTCTGTGCTCATCATGGGGAAAATGCCATGGAACAAGGCCTCCTCACTGCTTCTAAGGACTGCTATGAGACTTGGATGAGTGATGTCTGAGACGACCTGGCCAGGAGCTCCCACCTGCCATGGTGGGCAGGGAAATGTGCTCCCCAGCCCAGGCTGATGGTAACCTGTGGCCACTGGAGCAGAAGGAAGACGTAGTGGGGGTTGCTGTGTGTGTTAGATGTGGGTGCCTCTGATCTGTGCCTCCCCAGAATTCTACCTTTGGGGCTGGGGCTGGGGCTGAGGCTGGACCTGGTCAGACAGTGCCCACCTTTACACAGCTCGGGTCTGAGTGTGGGGCACAGGGCTGTGCTTCAGCAGTGTTGAAGAAGCATCAGAGACGAATGGGTGATGACGTGTTATGTCCTCAGGGGAAGAAAAGGCTGCTTCTGCTGGTGGGACTGGGGTGGCAGTGGGGGTGACAGTGGGTGGGGATACTTGTGACATGATGCAGAGAAGCCCAGGCAGGAATGTTCTGCCCTAAGACGTCTTTCCCCTTGGTGGGGACTGGCTCTTTGAGCTTCAGTCAGATCCTATGAGTGTCTGGGACAGGGGTTATTGGACTCATTTTGCAGGTGGAAAGATTGACGTGTTGAAGGACTTGGGTAAGATCGTTCAGGTGTGTGGTTGAGCAGAAGGCGGGGCCCAAGTCTCTGGCCCTGGCCTGGGCCACCTCGGTGCACCCAGCCTGTGTCCTCTCTGCATTCTTCTGGTGGACGGAGTCATGGAGAGCGCTGCGACCCGTGGTTCTGAGCTGGCCACTCGATCACTGGCCGTCCCTTAAGCTGTATTACGTGCCCTGCTCTCTAGGAAATCTGTCCCCAAGTTGCCCCCAGCTTGAGGCCCCAGTCTTGGTTCCCCGCTCTTCCCCCCTCCCTCCTCCTGACTTCTGGCCCTGGGGAGCTACAGGGAGGAGCTGCTGTGACGTGCTGGCCAGAGGAGGCCAGAACGCCAGACTAAACCATCTCCGTTGGGCCTTCTCCTGACACCAGGTCCCGGCTGGCGGACTTCCACACCAACTGTCGAGCCTCCTACCGGACCCTTACCAGCTGCCCTGCCGACAATTACCAGGCGTGTCTGGGATCCTATGCTGGCATGATTGGTAAGTTTTCTTGCATTTCTTGGGCTCATGGTGGCTCCTTGCTGCCCTAGCCTTGTGGGGCAGGGGCTACTACCCAGGTCAGGGCTTCTCTGGGACAGATTCAGATAGAACTTTGAGGGGAGCCAGAGGGGATCCAGCTCTTTATGGAGGAGAGCCCTGGTTCTTTATCATGCGGGGAGGGCCCCAGGCACCTATATGGCTTTGGAAGCAAGAAGAAAAGGTGAAAGAACGGTTTATTGCACGTTCTGACATTCTAGGTCTTCTTGGGCCTCTCTATAGCTCTTACTAGGGAGGCATTGGCATCCCCATCCTACAGATGAGGAAACTGAGGTTAAAAGTTGGGTGACCAGCATAGGCTCACCCGGCTGGCAAACGTCGTCACCAGGAACCAACCCAGGAAGTGGGCCTTCGTTTTTCTGGTTCTAGAAAAGAGGCTCTGCTCATTGGTGAGGGAGAAAACAAGGGACCCAGTCTTGGACAGAGCTGCTTGGCTCTTCCCTGCTGTTCTGGTGATTGGGAGCTTGGTGTCCTCTGTGCCTCTGGCCCCTGCTGACCCCATGGTCACAGAGTTGGGATTGCGAGGTGGGGTGTATGTGCCCTGCCATACCTGGGGCCTGGGGGCCCAAGGGAAGGCCTGACTGCTAATCTCCCCTTCCCTCCTTTCTCCCTGCCCAGGGTTTGACATGACCCCCAACTACGTGGACTCCAGCCCCACGGGCATTGTGGTGTCCCCCTGGTGCAGCTGTCGAGGCAGCGGGAACATGGAGGAGGAGTGTGAGAAGTTCCTCAGGGACTTCACCGAGAACCCGTGCCTCCGTGAGTCTGGCGTGTCCTTCCCTCCCCCACATCCCTGGCTCCCTGCCTGCCCCTTGCCCCGGGGACCAGGGGCCTGCCTGGGCCTCTGGTATCTCCTCCCTGTGGGGTGGCCAGCGACACACATGGGGCTTCTCTGCCATAGTGCGGCCTGCAGAGACCCCGAGCTCTTGACAATCAGAGCTGCCAGTGGGTCAGCCTCAGTGACCACCAGTGACCTTGAACTTGTGTCGGGTCAAGGCTGAAGGTTTCTGGTCTGTTATCCTGACTGCTTCAGGCAGGTTGCTCTGGGACAGACCCCTGTCATCCCAGGCCTCTGTCATTTCCTCCTTTAAAGAGTGTTTCCCCATTGGAACTGTGACTTTGAGTCACCTAACTCCTAATCCAGAGGCCACAGAGAGGAGAGCCACCATCAAGCTCAGTCTGCCTTTGATCTTTGCACTGTGAAACCTGTTGCTGACCACCACCTGCAGTCTCCTCCCTCTTTCCTTTCTTCCTTCCATGTGTCTGTCCGTCCATCTGTTCTCTTCCTTTCTGTATGGTCCTGGGAATTCAGAAGTAGAGATCCCAGTGCCTGTCATTCAGGAGCGTGCAGCCACATGGAGGTGAACTGAGAGGCCAAGGTGCAGGGTGAACGGTCCTAGGGTAGAGTTTTGCACAGGGTGTTGCAGGAGCCTGGGGTGGGGACATGTGTCACCCAGGAGGAGGGAGGCCCTGAGGGTTCTCAGAGGTGTCTCCCTTGGTGGATAGTTGAGGAGCAGAAGCCACCTGCTGTCCACCCTGGCAGGGGCCCCAGGCTCCCCAGAAGACCCCAGTTTGTTAGGGAGCTGCACAGCCTGGCCTGAAGCATTGGAGGTGACCACAGTAGGCTGTCTGCCAGGCGAGAGCATCCTCCTCATGGAGGGTCCTGCAGACCTGAGGCCTTGGGTTTCTTAGCCTGCAGGTGGCATGGTGGTGGCGTGGGTGGTTGAAGGAGGTAGGATAGAGAGAGGATCCACTTGGTCGTGATGTGGAGGTCATGGGGGGTGGGGACATGATTCTGCTGGGTGAGGCAGTACAGACAGGACAGTGACAGCTAACTAGAGCGATGGGAGGGGGACAGTGACAAGAGATGGAGTGGAGAGGTCTTTAGGGGTCTGCTCAGCTGGCTGCCAGTGGGCCAGTAGGGAGGCACCACAGGGTTCCTGTATGGGTTTCTATCTTGGGGGACTTGGGGACATAGAGGTGACACCTTCATGACAGGTGACACGGGGTGGGGGGCGAGGAGTGTTGGCAGTGGTAGGAAGAGTTGCCTGGTGTGGGCTTAGACGTGAGGCCTTGGAGGTGCATTTGGGGCAGTGGGGTACCATTTTCCTGGGCGCTTGGCTATGGGCTTGAGTCTTGGGGACGGAGTCCTGCCTAGGAGCTCTGATGGGTCGGTCCCCAGGGAATTAGAGCTGGTTAGCAGTGTGGGTGGGAGGCCGCCCGTGGGAGTGTCAGGTGTGGAGAGGGAGGAGGGCTGATCTGGGCCCTTGGAATGCCAGCAGCAGGGCTGGAGCATCTCAGTGGCAGCGGAGCCCCGGAGCCTGTGTCTAGGTATCTGTGGTGGGGCCACCTTGGCACGGCTCTCCTCCTCGGCTCCCACATGCCCACTTCCTCCTCCTCCTCTGCTCTGAGCCGTCCTGGCCATCGCGTGCGTTTCCTTCCATTCTGGCTTCTCTGTCTCCCTCCGGCTGATTTCTTCTCTCAGTGTGACTTCGTAGGTCTGAAAGAACCTGAGCTGAGTTGAATCCCTCTGTTACCCTTCGTCCCCAGCTTTGGGCTCTTCCAGGGAGGGCAGTGGTCAGGGTGGGGCGAAGCGATGGAAGTGATCCTGATTTCTATGCACCTACCTGACCCCCACCCCCCAGGGAACGCCATTCAGGCCTTCGGCAACGGCACAGATGTGAACGTGTCCCCCAAGAGTCCCTTACTCCCGGCCACCCAGGCCCCAAAGGTGGAGAAGACTCCTTCTTTGCCAGATGATCTCAGTGATAGCACCAGCCTGGGGACCAGCGTCATCACCACCTGCACCTCTGTCCAGGTGAGGGCGTGGCCCTGCCACTCAGGGACTGGGGAGGGGGCGGGGGGAGCAGCATGGTGTCACCTCGGTGTGGGAGACCACTCATCTGGGGCCAGTGAGGAGCACTGAAGGTCCTTCCTGTAGGTCAGGGGCCCAAGAGCAGGGAGGAGCTGGGAGGTGTTTTCACCTGTTCGTTCCTAGGCCTTCCTCTAGCAAATGCGGGACACCTGTTCATCACAGTGTCACACCAGACGTCTGCAGGCACAAGAGAAATGTAGCAGTCACCATTTATCAGCCTTCTGCTAATCACCAGGCTGTGTGCTGGGGGAGTCTCTGCTTTCCTTATTGAATTCTCACACAGTCAGGTGTCGGCGTTCTTGCTTCACATGTGGGAAGCTGACGAGAGGGCTCCCAAGATCACGTAGCTGATTGGTGTGGAGGATGGCCAAACCCACATCTGACTCCAGAGCTCATGTGTTCACTTGTCCATCCGTCTGTCCATCCGTCTATCCATCCATCCATCCATCCAGTCATGTATCCTCTCACCTGTGTGGTTACTTGCTAGGGATACATGGATAAATGAGGTGACAGTCTTATTTTTTGGTCCCATGGCCTTATTGAGGATCAAACAATGAAACCAGCATCAGATGTAGACTGCAGGCAGTGTCACAACAGGGGACACGTGGCACTCTGGAGGTGCCATCACTCAGCATCTCTGCTGAGCTACCCTCGTACCACTGCACCCTTCACTCCAGGAGGCTCTTTGCTGAAGGGGTCGGTTCTAGACAGGATAGAAACACACACACACACACACACACACCACACACACACACACACACCCTGAGAACAAAGGATTTAGAAGAGAACCTAGTGCAAAATACTAGGGAGGACAGAGGAGGGAGGGAATGGTGAGGGTGTGGCTGGTGGGAACGAGGGATGTCTCAGGCAGGAGTTGGCTCTGGTTGGCCAAGAGGTTGGTGGGGAACACTGGCAGCAGCACAGCCCAAATGAAGGTGCAGGAGGAGCGAGACTTGGTGGGAAGGGTGGGGACACCCTCTGAATGGGGTCGCAGTCTCCTGGGATCACCAGCACCTGGCATTCACAGTGCTGGGAGGAGGACTTGAGCTGGCCCCCTCCTGGGTACCCACCCACCACACCGGGACATGTGTGCTGGTGCCCATCCTGGTCAGAGGCCCAGAAAAGACCACCTCCGACTTTGCCAGCCCTCTCCAACTTCCAGGGAACCCCATATGGACGAGACCACCAGAGAGAGGGCCGCAGCCAGAGGGAGAAGTTTGGAGAACAGGACCCGAGGTTGTGTCAAAACTGGACAGAGTGTCAGGGCCTCACCACCCCAGGCTCCTCCACAGTGTCCCTGACACCCACGTCTCCGCCCCCAGCCCTACAACAGGAATGAAAGCTCCTCGTTCCCACATCCACTCCGCCATGGGAAAACCCTGGTGGGGAGCAGATCTGAGAGGGAGTCAGCACAAGGTCGCCGGGGCTCTGTTCCTGGCCCTGCTCAGCCACCAACACGTTGCAGGGCCCTGGACAAGTTCTCGCCCACTCCAGGCCTCTCGTCCCTTAGGTTTGGGAAGGAGATCTTGGAACATACTTCCCGTCCAGACACCTGTGTGCATCCCCAGTAGGCTGCCATCTCTGGGAGCGAAGGCTTCCCCGTGGAAAGAGGAGAGCGAGGAGGGCAGAAATAAGGAAAACTCTCTTCTCTCGAGGATGTACGTAGAGCACACAGCCTCCTCCCCACCAGGCTGCAGCTTCTTGTCCACATTCAGGGACCCCTTTATAGTTATGGGTTCCCATGGTTCCCAAGAACCCCAGCAGGGCCACCACAGAGCCATTCAATCAGAGGTGATCCAAGTTAGCAAAGCTGATGGACAGGACCGAGGTGCAGGCTGGGTGCAGCCATGCCAGTCTCCCGCTGAGCCAGGGACAGGGTTGAGGGCTGAGTCACACTGTAACCCCAGCCTGGCATGATCATAAAAGAGACCGCAGGGAGACAGAATCAGTGGCCTTTCCCCTTCTGTTTCTGAGAAGGAACCTAAGAAGTGATAGTGGGTGGAGCCTCTTTTGAGGATCTGCTTCTCTCATTTTCCTTCTGAGATGGCTGTCCCCAGCTGTCCTGCCCAGAGTAACTTAGCCAACAGGCCCAAGGAGGACAGTTCCTGGAGCCAGGCCTGCAGGAGCCACCTGCCAGGCAGCATCCCCGGCTTCCCGGTTGACAGCAGCTAACATTTGGGCATCATTGCTCCGTGCAAAGCACTTCCACACACAGCATCTCTGTTCCCCGTGTGAATGGTCCAGCATCACCCCTGGATCCAAACCAAAATCAAGACAAGCCCCCAGATCATAGCCTGCAGAAAAACAGAAGGTAGAAGAAACAATCAGTGCCTGTGTAGCCAACTGCTAAGGCAAGGCAGGGGGTGGAAGGGGATTCAGAGTGATCGGGCACTGAAGGGTGGGGGCACAGTGCCATGGCTTCATGTCTGTGTCCACAAAGAATCATAATGAGAGTGAGGGCAAGGTCAGCTGTGTCAGCATCTTCCTAGAGGATGCCCTACTAGGACCCTGGTAAGGCCCAGAGGAACAGGAGGACCACAACCAGAGCATGGTCACGTGACAGGCGGCACAGCCCTGACCAGCCAAACTGCCCACGGCTGTAGTATAAAATTGAGCCTCTGACCCTGCCATGCCTGTACCGTGTGTAATGTCCTTGCCTTGCCCTTCACCCCACTGGCTTGTGGAGCAGGGCACCTGGCAGGCAGGCCAGTCTCGGACACTTGTCCAAGGCCTTTGTTTCTGAAGCCTTGGACGCTTCCCAAGGAATAGGCCCAGATATGAATGAGCAAGACGCTGACCCTGGGCACCTTCTAGCTCCTCTGAGTGACACACTCCTTCCCTGCTCCACCCCTTTGCCCGGTGAGTCCTGGTCACATGTTCCCTCTCGGGGTTGTCATCCCTGATTCTGTCCATGCAAAGTTGCCCTCTACCTTACTTTGGACTCCAGCTTTGCCTCAGCAGAAGATGTATTTCCCTCTCTCCTGTTGGACCAGTGTCCCTGGAGGCCTTGATGGCCTTGCCATCCCCTTTTGTGCCACCTTGAACAAGGAGTGCACAGGAAATGGTGCGGAGAAGGGGCTCCACATAGTCTGGAGGAGTCCGCAGTGCATTTGGTTTGCTGGGCTTGCTGCTGTCTCGGGTGGAGGGTCTGGGGCTTTATGCTTCATGCTGAGCTCCACCCACAGGGTGCCTCCAGGTGCCTTCAGGTGGAGGGGTGGAGGAGCAAGGTGGTTTGCAGTCCAGGGTGTAAGAAGATTGGTCATGAGGCTGTTCGTTCTTGGGGACCAGAGCAGTGTGGTGGGGCCTGGGGAAGGCTGGCGGAGGGTTGGGGCTCTGCCTGGCTGTGGCCCATTCCACCATCCCTGACATTCCCCTGGGTTGCTTTGGGCCCAGAATGACGGTCTCATCAGATTTGCTGGACTCTCCCCTTTCCAAGGGCTGGGGAGGGCTAGTGACATGAGTCCTCTTTGCTCTGCTGGTCTCTGCCAGCCACTCTCCACTCTTTCCCTTGATGCTGCCAGTCATCTTGGGACAATAGAAGCGAGTTTGAGGGGTTGCCCTAGGGATTGCCTCACACTGAAGCAGACTTAGCAGCCAGAAGCCAGTTCTCTCCTCCATCCTCTGCTGCCTGCAAAGGCCTCTTACCCAGTACACAGACCTGTGGATGCCAGAGCAGGGGACCGAGTGGCCGATAGTGCATGCATTCTAACTGCGTGTCACTCTATCCTGGGCACTGAGGTCAATAAGCTCAATCAGCCAGTTCCATCCTTGTGCCAGGAGGCCCTGCTCAAGTGATGGTGAGGGTGAAGGAGATTGGCACCAAAAGAATGAATAAAGTGGGGCTCGGGGAGGATGGGGTGGCTTCAGCGGGGAGCAGACATCAAGGGCTGATGGGCAACGGAACCTGCTGCCAGACCTGGGAGAATCGCCTTGACTATGTGTAGGTGGAGCTGGGGTTGGAGTGGGTGAGGGTGTCCCAGGAGGAGGGCCAGCAGGAGCTAGTGCCTGGAGGCAGACGGCAGAGCCCTCTGTGGAAGAGTCACCTAGAGCAGGTGGGGGCTGGCTGGCCAGGGAGAGCCACTGGAGAATAAGGGTCCCGATTTCAAAAATTGAAAAATATTTGATTTTTGGATTTGAAGGTGGGGACGGGCAGTGGAAGTGGAGGGGGAGGAAGAGGTGACAGTCACTGGGGGTGGGCATGTACAGGAGAGATGGGCTAGGGACAGGCTCACAGGGTATAGATGAGGGCAGAGGCCAAGGTTTGTGGGTGGGGTCAGGGACAGAAGCAGGGTACTCAGGAGAGATCTGGCCAGTGCTGTCTGTGCAGCAGGATAGCACTGCTGGACTTAAGAGCACCTGCGCCAGGCCAGTGAGATTCTAGGACTGCCACACCAGCATGGGGAAAGAGGTGGGCAGGGCAGAGGAGGAAGACTGCTTCTTTCAAACTTCCTGGTTCAGGACCTTTCTGGGAGAAGCTTCTAGAAGGATGAAGCTTGCCTTGTGCCATCCTGGTTCATGGCCGGGCCCCTTCCCTAGTGCTAACTGCTCCTGTCTCTTCTTTCATGCTTCTGATGCCCCACAGTGCAGCCCACTGGGGCCAGCTCTTCCCACACTGTCCCTCTACTGGGCTCTGTGTCACAGGATTGCTGTTAGAAGCCCTGTGTGCTGCCGTCCCAGCAGCCTGGGCCTGTTGCCTTTGGAACCCCGTCATTCACACACCCCGAGTCTGTCTCAGAGGTATGAGTGGCTCAACACAGGGTCAGGGACTAGAGTTACCCACGCACAGCGGCACAGGGAGAGCTGGGCACTGGGGCGACCTTGACAGGGGCCGTGGCCCCAGAAGACTGCCCCCGGCCTGGGGCTGGGGGAAGGATGGCAGCCTTCTCTCCTCTTCCTGGGTATTTAATTGGCCTGGAGGTGACTACAGGGAGGTTTATTTTTCTGTTTGGTGTAAACCCCTCAAGGGCAGGGCTGAGACCTGCTGGTGAGAAGGGCATCCCCAACTGGTGAGGGAGGGAGGCACAGGTCTGAGCATCTGGTGTTGGGGCATTAAATGGCAGACTTTCTTTCTGCACCTCCCCACCCACGTTCCACTTTCAGAAAAGTCAGTTGCTGGCTGGACGCCCCTACTGTTCCATGTCTAGGAGTGGCCGGGGTCTCCGGTTGGCTGTGGGGGAGGTTAACACAGCCTTCATGTCTGCTGTTTCCTGGAGTCAGGTGGGGTGGGGACTCCTAAGGCCCTTTGCTTCCCCCACTGTCACCTGCTGCAAAGAGGCTGGGGGAAGCGGGGGTGGGGGGGGGAGAAGGCAGGAGGCTGCTCTGTCACCGCTCCTCACTGGCAGGCCCCAGGCTGCCGGCTTGCCTGGGTCTCGCCTTATCCCCTGCCCCCTTGGTTGTGTTGCTCCTGGGCCCTGCCTTGGGGTGAAAGCTGTGCTTGGCTCACTTTTTGCTTTGTGTAGTGAACAGTGAGCCTTGGTTTTGTGGGGAGCCTTGTTGTCCTATATGCCCTTTCTCTGGGTTAGTGAGCCACGCGTGCCTCCTGTCTTGTCTAGCTGAGGAAACTGAGGCACGATAGACTTCCCCGGGCGACTGGCAGGACTGGAACTTGGGTGCAGGGCTCTGGCCTCTCTCATTCGGTTTCCGGGCTGCCTTGGATCAAGGGGTTGATCTGTGGGTCCAAGGTCTAGGACCCTGCACTGAGGAAATTCTATAAACTAGAGGTCACAGTACTTGGTGAAGCTGTTCAGGGCAGTGAGGGGAAGCCTGCCGGTACCCTGAGCTTCCTGGGTGTGGTGGTCAGCCCTGGGGGCCTACAGAACTGGACATCCATAGGTTCAGAAGGACTCTCGCTCTCATTTTTCCTGTGTGGTATTTGTCGATCCCCACTCCCCTCTCCTGTCATTGGGGGACCTGACGGGGCCTGCTCATTCTGGGGAGCAAGATCCAAGCCCAGGCCAGTGCTCCAGAGGGCGTTACCATTCAGATTTTGTCTCACACACCTGGATGGGCTTGGGGCTCAGAGGCTTTTGTGGCTTCTCTGTGCAGGTTGACCTTGGCATAGAAACCTGCGGAACTGACATTGTCTGGGTCCACCTTTGACCTTGGGCCTGCCTCAGAGCTGATGTCCATCATCACAGAATGTTGTACTGGCTTCACCTTAAAGGACATCATAGGCAATCGACCACCTGGGCATCTGGTCAGCTAAACAAGGCCCCAGCTTTAAAGCAATAGACTTAAAATATAATTTTGCATGTCACTATAGTACATAAGACAAGTAACAGCAGCTTTGATTGGGAGTGGGGCTGTCTGCCTCTGTGATTCCCACATGGACCCAGGGACTGGGACACAGGGACAAACCAGGGTCCCTCAAAGGGGATAGGACAGAACAGCCACCCCTGACACTTACAGAGGAAGCCATATTGGGTATAAGTAGCTGCTGGACCACATGTATCACAGGTGGGGATGGATATAACCGACTGAGGATTGGTGCAGGGGCCGGGGAGGACAGGTGGGACACATGATAACAGCACAGACTCCAAGCTGGGGCAAGCGGTGTTCTGTCCCTGCAGTGGTCTCCCTGGAGTGGTATAACGCTCCAAGGAGGAGAATCTAGTGGTTGGCCTGGAAGGACCGAAGGGAATATGTCCCATGGAGGGAAGCAGTTGGTACCACCTCTTGGCACCTGGAGACACTGGTACCTGGTCTTGAATAGGATCCTCTTGGGTTGGGTCTGGTTCCATTCCTGCTGTGCTAATCACCATATTTCTGTCTCCACCACTGGCAGTGACTGCTTTTGGCCAGGGTCTCTGTGTGACAGCTGGGGCCTTGTTTAGCTGACCAGATGCATGGGTGGTCGATTGCCTACGATGTCCAAAGAATTATGGATACTTTTGGCCAAGAGTCGTGATTTAGGCATAATTTCTTGGGCTTCCCAGTTGCTCCTGGCAGCCGGAGCTTCCCCACAAGTGCCTTGGGAACTAAGCCATCTGAAGGGCCATATCCCCCAGCTGGTTCCCATTGGTCTCTCTCACGATGGTGGTAACAAAGCACTGTTCTTCATGCACGCTCTGTGGTCCTGCAAGTAGTTATGCCAGGGCAGAGAATCCTGGAATGACCACAATGCCAACCTTCCCTTCTCATTCTTCATCTTGTCTACAGAGTTCCCAGGTGCTGCACATCTGTTTGGGAGTGAAAATGGCCTGGCACATTTGCTAGCTGTCCACCTAACATGTACCAGTGGCAGACATCACTAATCAATCACAGTTTTCTTTCTCTCCTGAGCCCAGATGCGGGCTCATGATCTTTGTCCATAGAGCCTTCCTGGAGTGATGGCAAATTACAGGAGCTGGCTCTCAGATGCCATCTCTGGTCTGATGCATTCATTCATTTATTCATTCATGCATGCATGTGTCTACTAAAACACTAATTGAGTTGTGAGCCAAATCACAGCTCAGTGCAAGGAAAGGAGATCTGGTCCCTGCCTTTGAGGAGCTCTGAGTAGGCAGACAGACATGCAGACAGCTAGTTCTTACAGAATGCTGCAAACTGGATAGCAAGGTTTAGAGCTCAGTTTCCCAGGAGCCCTGAGAAGGCAGGAGTTAATTGATGAGGACTTCAGGGGTGCAGGGGCTCAGTAGAGGTCTTTATTATGCACCTTCAGCTTTGCAGTGCTAACAGTGATGGCATTGTTATAGCAGGGCTATAACAATGTTATTGGAGTCGCTAGTCGAAGCCAGGCCAGAAAAAGCATGGTGCCTTCTCCTAACTAGTGCTTCTCTCCCACAGGAGCAGGGACTGAAGGCCAATAACTCCAAAGAGTTAAGCATGTGCTTCACAGAGGTGAGTAGGGGCAGGAAGGGGGTGGGTAGGTGCAGGAAACTGGGGGTTGTTTTCTAGGTGAGCCTTGAACTTAGAACTCTAGAATCCAGTTGCTGGGCCAGCTGATCTTCTGGCCCCTCCTGGACTGAGTGGGCACTCCCTTTTCTGGGGTGGGCCTGGGGAGTGCAAAGGCTTTAGTCAGGACCTGTGGCCACCTCCTTGGGGGAGGAGCCTTCCAAGCAGAGACCCTCCCATACTTTCCTTATCTTTAAAGACAAACATATTGAGCACCTGCTCAGCACTGGTCCTGTGATATTTATTAGATACAGAAATGAAAAAGGACACGGTCCCTTCCTTGAAGAACTCCCCCACACACACATAGGAGTGCATATGCCACCATGGTAGCTTAGGTGAGAAGATGGCGAAAGACTCTGCAGAGGGAGCGAGCGGCTCAGTCAGAGACGCGTAGGGAAGGATTCGTGGAGGAGGAGTTTCAGAAATGGGGAGAAAGTGGCTTCCCTTTCGTCTCCTCTCCAGAGGCAAGTCCTTGTGGACCTTGGAGCTTCTCCTTTGGGGTCTTTATGCCGTCTCCCTCCCACAGGTTGTACATCATCCTCCGCCCTCAAGCAGGGAGGTGCAGCCTGTTCTCTGGGGACTTCTGCCCACTTGCCCTGACCTGAGGGCTGGGAGCCCAGAGGGGACAGAGCATCACTTTGTTCCTGCCCTTCCCTTCGAAGCCTGGCTGTGCCTTCAGAGTGCAAGAGAGGGTCTCGGGTGGCCAGGGAGGGCAGGGCTGGAGGAGGCTGGAGCCGAGGCCGCTGACGGGATTTTTGTTGTTTTCTCTGTCTTCCCTTCTGCCGTGGACTCAGCTCACGACCAACATCATCCCAGGGAGCAACAAGGTGATCAGACCTAACTCAGGCCCCTGCAGAGCCAGGCCGTCGGCGGCCTTGACCGCGCTCCTGCTCCTCTTGCTGAAGTGGGCCTTGTAGGCCCTGGGGACGCGTCTCAAGATCTCCACCGACGGCACAGAGGACAGCTCCCGCCGGGCAAAGTGGAACCGCTCCCAGACACACACACACCCCTTGCAAAAAATCCCCCCACCTTGTCTCTGAACCTGTCTCCTCCCAGGTTCCTTCTCTGGAGAAGTTTTTCTAAACCAAACAGACCAGCAGGTGGGGAGCCTGAGGGCTGCCCAGAGGTCCCCTGGCTTCAGGGACACTCGGCCCTGAGGGGCACAAGGCTCTAGACATGCCCTTCACTGTCTCCTGGTGTTTTTCTCTCTGGACCCTTCTGCAGTAAGAGACCAAGCTGAGACCCCCACTGCCGAAGGGACTTGTGCTGTGCCCAATGCAGGCTGGGGACAGGACAGTGGCAACTGCTCTGGAGCTGCCCACTCTGGGGACCTGCTGGGGGACCAGCCGAGGGCATCTGTCAGGGGGAAATGGAGCTGGCCACATGCCTCCAGTTGGGCCCTGTCAGCCCTCCCCTTGGCTTCAAGGATGGAGATGGCCTGTCCTCCCCCACTGCCCTCAGGGTGGGTCTGTGTGTGCGTGGAGCCCCGTGGCCGCGCTGGGTCCTCCTGGCTGTAGGGCCTGGGCCTCTCGGCCTGCCTGGGAGTTCCCCTGCGGGGAGGGAGCAAACTCTGGGCACCAGGAAGCCGCTTCCTCCTTGGTGGCAGGAATTTTGAAGTCAAAGAGAAATGATGCTTCGGTGGCTTCTCGGTTTCTTGTGGGTCCATTTGGCGGGCCTTCCCCTTGGGGACCGCTGAAGGGGGCAGAAGAGGCCACAGTTGGACGTGGTCTCGAGCTTGCTGCTCCTCTCTCCTGCCCCTCCATTTCCACCCTCTTTCCTCATTCCCGAGACATCGTCAGCGCTGTCCCTTCTCTCCACGTGTGTATATACATGTCCACGTACCTATATCCTGTGCTTTCCTTTTTCTTTCCTTTTTTTAAGAAACAAAACTATCGAAATAATACCCCACAGATGAGCGAAAATGTATTATTGTAAAGTTTATTTTTTTTAATAATGTTGTCTATAAAGGAAAAACAGGAAATCGACCTGGGAGCCCCGCTGCAGTTGGGCTCGCGGGCCGTGGCCGGGACTCCTGATGCGCATCACGCTTAACCAAGGCTCCAATAAAATACTAGGAAGCAAAGTTGCCTCGTGCCTCACTGCTCTGTGCCTTCGCCCCCCTGCGTTCCTGGCCCCTGCTGCCTGCTGGGTGTTCCTGATGGGGCTGGGACGTTCATGTGTATGTGCATGTGTGTGTCCACTTGGACCCCAACAGGTCTTGCCCGTGTGTCCCAGGGTGGGTGGATGATGATCCATGCAGTGATTTCATGCTTGCAGGTTTGAGGTCTCAGCTAGGCTGTTGTGGGGTCTTGTTCCCTCCTACCTCGCCTTCCCGGTTAGTTAGAGTGCTTGTTGCTCCCCGATAGGGAAAGGAGAGGTGGCCGGTGGGAGGGAGTGGTGGCTTGTTGTCACCCTGGGTATGGTTTGCCTTGTGTAGAGTGGAGGGTGTCTCCCCCTGGGACCCCTGGGCTGATGCAGGTGTGTCATGGAGAAGGCAGGGACCTGGCCTCCTGGTTCCCATCAGAGAAGGAAGACCACTCTCAGTGTTTGAGTCCAAGAGAACAATCCATCCATCCTTCTATTTGCCACCCAGTCTTCCCGGACCCTGGGCCTGCCGTGTTCTGCTGGAGATTCTCCCTGGAGAGCAGCAGGAGGAGGGTGTACTGGTGTGCACAAATGTCTGTGTGTGCCCGCACAAGGTGGCAGGAGGGAGAGGGGAAGGCTGGCCTGTGCCTTCAGGGCTTCCTGTGATCCCGTCTTGTCACTCCTGGCGCTGGGATGTCATTTTCCAGCCTCCTGACCCTGGGTCCAATCGAACAGCTTTGGTTTCTGGTTGCACATGTGTCAGAAACATCTGCTCACGGTGGTCACGCTGCAGCAGATTGTGTTCTAGCCTCTGCCTGGAGGGAGGACAGTGAGCAGCCGTCTCTCTTCCCAGCCTCTGCTGGCCTTACTGCAGGACAGGATGACTGATGTCCACCTGGAATTTGGGTTCCTTGCAAATAGGGGAGACTGGCTAGTTCAAACAGGGACTTGTTGGGAGGTTTGGGAGGAGGCTCACAGAGGGAAGGACCAGGGGACAGCTGAAGGGTTAGAAGGCAGGATCTACAGAGTCAGGGACCAGTGGCCAGCCACTGTTGTCCTACTGGCTGGATGGGGCCTTATGCCTTCCCCCCTCTATTCTTGGCGGGGAGAGGGGTGATGTGTCATGACTGATGTTCCTAATAGGAAATAAGCCCTTGGGCTAAGTAAGTGGGCAGGTACCCCACAAGGAAATCGAGGCACCATCATGACGGAGGAATGGACACTGGGCAGCTTTACTATGGCTGACAACATTTCCTCATCCATGCAGCCCATAGCTGACAGTTTATTATTAAGCAATCATTCCTTTGCTTGAGAAGATTGCCGATTTTTGTGTTCCTCTAAAAATATGTAAATAAGTCTGGGAAGAGTCTAATGTCCCTATCTTAATGTTAATTGATTTAATGGTGAAAGTGACTCTTAGTGACCTTAGGACATTTGGGCTTAGAAGTTGAGACTGGGGTTGGGGAACAGACAAGGGCAGAGAAACAGGAGTGGGACCAGGAGCAAATTGGCAGGGACCACCAGGGACAGATTTTAATTGGTAGTTATTTTGGGCAGAACACACCCATGTGCAGTACAGACTCTGTGCACCGAGCTCAGTCAGCAAGGGGTGTAGGCTCGCTTCCTTCGCTGCCACGGCTCATCTGGGGCGTGCATCTGTCTGCAAGGCCATCTTAGCTTGTGCTCTGGCCCCAGTACGTTGCCAAGTCAGAAGCCACAAAGGAGTGTTCCTCTCTTTGTCGGGGGAAACGTCCAGCACGGGCAGTTATGCCCAGGCAGGAGCATAGACAGCTTTCTGCTGGCCCTTGCCCCCATGGCCCTCCTCTTAATTCATGGGGGCCACTCAGGCCAGGCCAGGGAGATCTGCAGTGGGAGGCCTGGGGAGGTCCATGGAGGACTTCAGAGTTCTGGACATGAAGGGAGCAGGGTCGCTGTCCCCTCGGTGACCTGCCAGTGGTTCCCATAACCAAGCCTCTGCTGTGTATTGAGACTAGTCACCGGGGATCATCTTAGTTCCTGGCACCCTGGGCCCTTTCTAATGTGCGTGTCCCAGACCCGGGCCAGGTCCTGCTCTTTCCGGCCATTCTGGGAAATCAGCCCTGCTTGGGATTCTCAGTCCCTCGCTGGGCTCTGCTATCCCCTCCACCAGACCTTCCTGAGGTCAACCAACTCTGGACCTACCAGGATGGTCACCATTCCCAGACTCCTGTCCCTGTTCACCTCTTCACTGAGGTACCCACCTGGCAGCCCTGCTTTACGCTCCTCAGGGATGGGCCTGCTAACTGGCTCCCGGAGTCTGATGGGCCACCTGCTATGGTTAACCTCACGCCAAAGGGTCTCGTGTGTGTGTGTGTGTGTGTGTGTGTGTGTGTCCCTAGTTTCTGGCCACTGACCACCAGAATACCTGTGTGAAACATGGATTCCTTACTCACAGGAGAGAGCAAAGGTTCAGTGTTGCCTCCTGGTTGGAGAAACCCTTTGCCAGCATTTTCTGATCTGTGAGGTGAGCTTGAATCAGCCAAGGGGCTGGGATGTCAGAGGATAGAACTGTCCACGTGCTCCATGTTAATACAGGGAATGTAAATCAATGAATAGCATAGTGTCCATTCTTTTGAGTCTCCCTGGGAGTAGGTGATCGTCTTTTAAACGTGGATTTTTTTTTTTTTTTTTTTTTTTTTTTTAGGAAAAGGCAAAATCATTTTGGAACCCAAACTGGTAAATAAGGTATTCGCGTTCTTTGTGGTGGGGCTAAATGTCAGGAAGACTGGCGTCTAGTCACATGTGGGAAATTTTGTCACCTTGTTTGATCTTGGTCGGGTCACCTAAAAAGTTGCATTAGATGATGACTGAAGCGCTTTTTGACTAAACATGTACTGAAGAGAGGAGAGGGTCACTGAGATGGACTGAGGTGGATGCTAAGCCTTCTGCCTGGTTTTCCTGTCCAGGGTGTCCACCACCCTTTGAGGTGTGCCTCCAATATTCTGGACAATGAGAGAGTGGCCAGCCTGCTGGGTGTCGGCTTTGAATACTTCAGTTGTGATGAGTTTTCTAAAAACCCAGTTGTGCTACTTCCTCATATACGTTGAAGCAAGTAAGTAAATAGAAAGGGCTTTGAAACCTTCACAAAGATCTGAACAGAATCAGGGCCCTGCAGAGCATCACCTGCCCAGAATGTACCTTGCCACATCCCACAATTTTGTGTGAAATGGGTTTTTGTGCCAGGGCTTTGATAGTTTTACTGAAAAACAAAAAACCCAAACAAAAATAAGGCCAGGTGCAGTGGCACACACCTGCAACCCCAATGGCTCAGGAGGCTGAGGCAGGAGGATTGCAAGTTCAAAGCCAGCTTCAGCAATTTAATGAGGCTCTAAGCAACTCAGCAAGGCCCTGTCTCTAAATAAAATATAATAAGGGCTGGGGATATGGCTCAGTGGTTAAGTGCCCCTGGGTTTAATCCCCAGCACCAAAACAAACAAACCCAAAAACAATTGTTTTAAAATGTGTATATCTTAAGGTTTAACTCCTGCTCACATCCCTCACCATAGGCTACATGCTCTTCTGAAATTGTATCAATATTAATTTATTGGATCCCCACTGGGACTCAGAGCTGGCGCCATGTCCCCTTCTAAGATGGGTAGACTGCTGCAAAGCGAAGCTCCTAACTTGCCTAAGATTGCAGAGCATAAGTGGCAGTGCTCAGGCACACACCCAGGTGGGCTGGCTCCAGGGTTTGTGCTGGGATGTCCTGTCACCCTGAATGTGTGTGTGCCCTGCCTGGGCTAGTCTGTGGCTGCCCAGGCGGGTAGGGAGGGTCCTGTTAACCCGGGCTCGTTGGTGCTTCTGCACTCTCTCTCTCCAGCCTCTTGCAGGGTCCAGGGAACAGCCCATCAAGAGGCTGAATGTACCTTTGGGAGCCTACAGGGCAATGGGGAAGGAGTTCTGTAAACGACTTTGTGAAATCAAGAATCGTGTGGACTTGGAAGAAGGGCCAAGGAAGGGGAGGGAAGAGGCTGCTCAGCGACAGGTCCCCCCCCAGCTCAAGGCGTTTCTGGTGGGGCAGGGCAAGATGGAGGGGGCATTCTGCTTCAGCACCTGCCCCTTGGTTTTGCTGGGATGGCTGATGACCTTGTTGGGAAATGGCTTTGGCTAGGAGTCAGCCTTTCCAGGAAGGAGACTGACCAGATGGGGTCCTGCTGGCTTATCTTGGGGACCTCCTGACTAAAAGGAGAGAGAACAAATTTAGGAATGAGAGAGACCTGATTTGAATTCCATATCTGCCCCCGACCAACTGGAAGGTCATGTCCAGTGCGAGCTTCAGTTTTCTCGTCTGTGAAATGACGCTGGTCCTACCTCTTAGGAGTGGTGTGGAAATCCCATGAGATATCCTACTAAGCGTCTGGCACACAGTGGGCTCCCAGCCATGATACTCCCTCACCCAGTGCGCCCACTAGCCTGGGCCTCCATGACTCCTTAGCACCTGCTCTGCAGAACAGGCTCCTTCTCTTAGATTCATCCTTGAAGCTTCTCCCTTCCTCACCCTTTCTGGGTCCTAAGAAGCTTTTGTGGATTTGGGGCAGACACGAGAGTACGGCTGTCATCAGCCCCCTGGGCTGCTCTCTTGGAAGCATCGCCAAGTGGAGCTGAGAGGGCAGGAAGAGTGGGGAGACAAAAAAAGGAAATGTCCTTGTGTTATTTGTAAATCAGAGTTGATTTGATCTGAGAGTCTCTGGGGACCGTGGCTACAGAACATCCAAATGTCACGCTCTCTGGAGTACCTTTGATTGGCTGTCCCCTCTCCATGCGTGAAGGCAGAGGACGTGCCACTGGAGTAAGTGCACCAGCTCAAAACTGAGGACAGGAAGCATCAATTAGTCACAGGAGCTGAACTGAGGAGAATGTCAGCACCTCTGGGAGGGCGACTGGGGTGCCATTGGCCCTGGGTGGTGCCCAAGGCAAGATACAGGGGGCTTTGCTACTCCAGGCTCTGAGAGACTTCCT